ATAAACATCACATAATTTTACATGTTATCTAGTTTTACTATTAAATATTATAATTAAATTGTTACGATCCAGGAATTCACAGAGTATCTAGATAATTGTCCCCGTGACTCCTGACCGACTAATCGGTAATATATAACTTAAAACTACAGATAAATAAATACAGTACATTTTAACAAAAGTCATTAATTTAAAGTATTTTAAAATTTATTAGAATCCGAATTTAGTATATCAGACATAACGCTTGCATTGATAATTTGGTGAATTATTCGGGACGTAATTTGTTAATCAAATTTAGCCGAAATTTTTTAATTGTTGGTTTGATTTGAAACAGTGTTTATTGGCCTACAAATCAGTGCCATTCATTTGTCTGCACCTCTTTTGGTTCGGGTGTAATCCTCTCCCGAAGAGGTCGAGTCCCGAAATGGGTCTGGCACAATGACCATGGCACTTTTAGAATTCGAGATAATAAGATGCGCCAAAGTTACTTGTTTTAAAGATTCGATAAAGAAAATAACATTTCGCTATAAATTTTAACATTTAATCCGGCCAATTAAATTATTTAGTAACTTTTAATTGTTTAAAATATTGATTCTCATAGGATAGCATTGCCAAAGCTATTCCGGAGGTCGACCTCTTCGGGAGAGGATTACTCCCGAAGCAAAAGAGGTGCAGACAAATGAATGGCACTGATTTGTAGGTCAATAAACACTGTTTCAAATCAAACCAACAATTAATAAAATTCGGCTAAATTTAATTAACAAATTACGTCCCGAATAATTCACCAAATTATCAATGCAAGCGTTAAGAGACATATCTTACTGCACGCACAGCACTGCTGTACTCTATTTAAGCAAATGTTAATTCAAAAACGAGTTTTGTATAAAAGTTTGGATTAGAAAAACAGTAAATGAAAATACGTTTTGTGTAAAAGTGTTGACTAATTTCATAAAAACACATTTTGCCTTAAAATGGCTGATAAAAGGTCTTGAAATAGGTTTTTATTAGAGACTAACAAAACTTGTAAGTATAAAGTGATTAATAAATTAGAAAATGAAATCTATAATAGTACACAAATATGTTTAAAACAAACAAAATATATTATATCAATTTTAATTATGCTTACAATGATAATTAATTTCGCAAAAAATAAAATTTTTTAATATAAAATTTTTGGCATTTCACCCATTAACATTGAACTTTACCCTTTATACGAGACACATTTCTGTTTCACCAATCATTTCCCTAAATCGAGGATAAGATGTAATATTATTTATTATCAATTATAAAATAATTATATTGTGTTATAATTTATAATATCTAAATAAATACGTCCATTATAATTATCAATTAAAAGCCAGAATGTCTGTATGTTACATTTATAAATTTTAATAAATACTTAAAAAACATCTTGATTCAATAACCACATCATTTTAAATACATCTCCTATTTCACATTGGACTCTTTTAATATACCTGTATATATTTTGCCAATGTATTTATAAAGGTATTCACAAATGCGTGTAAAAACTTTAATTTTATTTAAAACTTTTGTTTAAATGTTGGGCACAATGAGTGCCAAACACACGAGGAGTGTGTGAGTTGTCAATGGGCTTACATTTTGATAAACAACTGATTTTAGGTGAAGTAAGTTTAGGCATTATATAGGGACAAAAGTGGGTCACTTTTGGTACAGTATGTTATTTAGTAATTATGGTACAGTATGTGTATAGTAGGGACATTAAATATGGTCAAAAGTGGGACACTTTTGGTACATTTGGCTATTTTTGTGGGGCATTATATTTTGGAGAATGAGTGTACATATGGTATGTGTTTGTCGGCAGAGTTTTAGATAGAAATAGGTTTACAATTAATGGGTTTATGGCTTAAAGTTAAAGTGAAATGGATTTCACAAATAATTGAAACTCAATTCTAAGTCTAAATATAATTTATACTTTACATATTTTATAATGTAACAATAGCCTAGCAGACCTTAACATTAACCTTAATCTTTTACATTTATTTAAACAACTTACTGTTAATTTTTAAAAATATTTGATATAAAGATAAAAATCAAACAAATGATTTCAAATATATTTTAAATTATTATTGAACAAAAAGTTGTTTGTTAAGATGGAATAAAACACCTTGATGATTGGCAATATCGGCCAATCAGATTAGATCAAAGTGTAGCATCTGTTCAAATCAGCTTAATATCTGATAGGACTCCTATTAGGGGCCACAATACTGTATTATTAAACTACTTTTTGTTGAACCCCTGAATACAGGGCTTGAGATTATGAATAGTACATAATTTTATATATTTTCCATAAATATTGCACAAAAGTTATATTATATTATACTAAAATTAATTAACATTTTAATTGGCAGTTTGTAATTTTACCATATTTTTATCTTTAAACATTTTAGTCAATTATCTGTAGGTTTAGTAAGTTTTATGGCTTAAACGCCGACAATATTACCACGTTTTACATGTCGTCCATCAATAAGTCAGATGCAGATCAGGTCCGGCGCCAACTCTACGACCTCTACGGCGATCTACTCATGAGATGTCCGACACATCAGTTTGCCGTCAATTATGGCCAACAGTCGGCCGAAAATAATGTATATATCTATGAGATTACAGTACAAACAAAAGTACACAAAAGTCATTAAATAATCAGTTTATTGAATTTATGATTATTAATAACATGTGATTTCAATTCACCCGTAGAAACAAAGCGTTGATTACAGTTATTATGAATACATTTATGGCTTTTTATATTCAGATGTCTTTTCAGGTGATCTTTAAAATTAGATTTACGTAAAAATGTTTTGTTACAATCATTGAAATTACAAATAAATTGCTTTTCTCCCGAATGCGTCAGTTTGTGTCGAATTAGAGTTGATTTCAAACCAAAACTTTTGCCACAATTTTCTTCATTACATTTGAATTTCCTTTCATTCAAATGAACACAACTTTTGTGTTGAAATAAATGTGATTTTTGAGTAAATCTTTTGTGGCATTCATTGACATCACAAATAAATCTCATATTTAGATGAATGCTATTTTTGTGCTTAACAAAATTAGATTTAAGTTTAAAAACTTTATTACAATTATTAAAGTCACATTTAAATGATTTTATTTCCGAATGAATTAATTGATGTGAAGTTAAACTACTTTTCGTTGTTGTCTTGTATTGACATTTAGGCCAAAAACAGTGAATATAATCATCAGATTTAGTAATGATATGACAATTGTTTAGCATTTTATCACTGATTTTACATGAATTGCAATCAATTGTTTGATTGATTGAAAAATAATCATTATTTTCGCATTCAATCGCTTCACACAAAACACTATTATTTGTATTCAAAATACACTGAATTTTGTCTNCAAAACACTATTATTTGTATTCAAAATACACTGAATTTTGTCTATTATTTCACACAAACTCTTCATTGCATTTAATTTACTTTTCATTTCATTCAACGAAACACTCATTAATTTTGAACACATTTTTATAATTATTTATTTTAAAATTTAAACTTTTGCTTAAAACTGATGTCTTTTTACAAAATATTTTTGTTGTTTGCTGTGTTAAGTGTTGTCAACGACTGAACGGGTATTGAATGCAAACGAATGGATAGAAAGGGATAAACATTTGTTTGATAAGAAACTAAATCCTATGAAAAGGATTGAACAAAACATTATAATCCAAAACTCAATTCAAATACAAATGTCAGGAAAGCTATGAAAAGTTTTTCATTGAAAACACATATCAAATGCAAATTATGCCATTTTCCCGTTGTTTTACATTTAATGCAATTTTTTATTGCTATTATTAATAATAATTATATAAACAATTAATTCAATTAAACAAATATGTTGTTCATGTGTTGTATTGAAATAAATAATTTCCACGTGTTTTCAAAACTGCATTTTTATGACAACCAAAACCTGTTCCCAGATATTAATCATAAGATCTCATCAAAACTCACAATACAGTAGTGTTTGGACTAATGATTGTAAATCATATAACGCTCGCAGTTTAGAGCCAAGCAGAGAGTGTGTCAACTGATACAATGACTAATCATCATAAAGTTAGCAGGGTACTACAATACAACAATAATTTATGGCAAACATACAGATAATTTAATAGTTTAACAATCAACAAAAATTTTAAAATAATAATAATAAAGAATAATAGATTAAAATATCTCTGTTCAACCAAGTATACCAGATATACTTAGTGTAGCCACATGTCCAACTAAAATATCTAATTTGCATATAAAGTTATATATATAATTTTTCACAAAAACATTAAGATCACGTTTAAAAATATAGTTAACAAATACTATTGAGTCAAATATTAATAATATTGTTGATAATCGTAAATCAAACTATGAGAAATCTCATTAAAATGTGTTAAAATAATTAAATTTAGTTTTAAATGACGTTTGTTGATAGACTGAAAGCCAACCACTATAAAAATGGGCGAGAAACTAATAAAATAACAGATTATCTCTCTAAACAGTAAATTAAATGTAATTTTATATCAATAAATGAATTAAGCAAATGCCCTGGAACCGTTTTGATGATAACATAGATGTTTGACTGTATTAGGTTGCCATTCACGCAGTGTTTTTTGTTTAATACTCACAAAACTAAACTTTTTACTGACCGTTGCGCCACCTTTTTATGGCATACTGTGAATCTGTACCTGTGATATACTAAAAACCTGTTGAACAGGCCTAGATTAAAACATTTGGATAAATTGCACATATTAGTTAGATAGATCTAGATTGCATGATGATTATTTGATGGTTTTTATTGTTAATGCCATAAATTACAACATTAATCATGCAATGAATGTAAATTTATTAACTAATATAATATTAACACATATTTTTACGTACATAAGTAATCTATCTAGATATTTACAGTAGATAATTTAACAAATGCAATAATAATAATTTATACTTAAATTACAAAATATAAATTCAATCATATTTATGAGTCGGCCGACGATCGGCGGACAGTCCGGTGCGGCGATCGCCGAACACATACGTCGACAGCGATCGCTGCAAACGGCCGAACGGCAACTCAAACACCGCCGACACGACTGCCATCACTAGACAATTGGCCGCAACGGCCGACAGTAAGAGAACCGGCGCGGGAACCGTACGGCACAGACCCGCCGTTAAGGCATTGAATAAATGCTGTGCGAAATAGTCGTGCAATAAATATGAGGTCAACTGTATTGAGCGTATGGGTCGCCACCAACGGCTGGATAGGAAACGGTTGCATAGACTGGTGTTATGGCTGTCGGTGTAGATAATGACCGACAAACATATAATTACGGCATAAACCCCGGTATAAACCATATGGACGGCTATAAGCGCCGGCGATTGTAACGCTCCGGGCATTAGTCCGCCGCTAATCATCGCCATTAATAATGGCCCATTATAGCTGTCGACCCGGCGATGATTGTCGGCCACAAACGGTAGGCGCGGATGTGTTTATTTAGCTGCTCATCCACTGTTAAATAGCCGTATAATAGGCCGGCCAGGTATGGCACCCCATGGGTGAATGGTTTAATTTGAGCTGTTATGTATCTCGTTTTGATCCTGGTTAGAATATAATAGATTATAAAGTTATGAAGATAACTGAATTCATAATAAATTTTAATACCTATAATCGGTAGTGTAGTCAATATATAAAGTTGTCACCATGCACACTAAACCTGTCATTATGATGGCCATTATACCAGTTTTGAAATTTCTGCGTATAGTAATTATTTAGATATTAATAATTAAATCATAATTTATATGAGCTGGATTAAATTACCGATACGTCAGATACATTAAAACCGGAGTTAACAAAACAAATTGAATTAACACACAAAGCGACCATGATTCTGGGAAACACTACAAAGTATAAGTAACTTATGTAACATAAGAATAACGCTATACATAATAAATAATCATGCTTAATTTACTATTTTAGTGTCAGATATTAAATTAGCCACAAATGTTAACTGAATAGGCATTTGAGTTTGACATAAGCTAATAAATTGTCGATTATACAAACTGTGCGGGGCAAAATATATCACATTCATTGCCACAAAGTATAACGAGATATAATAAATGGGAATTATGCGCAAAATTCGTTCAAAATAATAACGTGTCGTAATTCGAGTAAACGTTTTGTGCCGATTGGCGTCCAATTGGTGTCGAAACCATTTGCCACATGCGATACCGTTGAGCGTAAATGTAATGTCCATTACAATAGACATTACATTTGTTTCAATTAACCTGTTTTGAATCATTTTGATCATGGTCAAGCAACAATATAAGGTGTTAGATTCAATACCGTTAAAGCGATTCAAAATTAATTAGTTGAGAGAGAGAGAGAGAGAGAGAGAGAGAGAG